CGGCGGGACCATCGCAGGTGATAATGACACCGGCAAGAATGCTGATGCCGCCACCACAACAGACTCCACCGAATCGATTTACGGGACATGGGGGATTCGGCGGAATGATGGTAACTCCAGCGCGTTCACAAAGGTCATCTCCGATATTACCGCCTTTTCCGGAGACGGGAGGCTTGTCACTGTCGGATATCGGAGCGCCTCGCATGAGAACACCGCAGCAACTGGGAGCGCAGCGTCCCCATCGTAATTCGCCACACAGAGGAGGAAGGCGACCGAGAGGCATTCTACCGTCACTGGGTCCAAACTTGGACGAGACTGGACCAGATGGTTCACGGCTTACGCCTCCAGGTGAACCTTCAATACACGCATACGCACCGAAGCTTCCTTTGGATTTGAGAGAAGACGACGCAAGCTTAAATATGATTCCGAATAAGGAGGACAAACTGACGGAAAACGGTTGGAAGCTATCCGAGAATTTAATCGAAAATGCCGCGAACTTTATAGAATTCACATGCGAGTTGAAGACGAGCACGCATGGTACGGAAAGTTGATCAGCCTGGAAGCCGTTATTAAACCATGTCATATCGCCCTGAAGGAAAAGACAAAACTGATTGAAAAGAGCGCAGGAATACGCGATAAAAGTTGCGTCGATGTGGCAATACCACCGTCGTTAAATGGTAGGCCATGGCCTTCGATCGTCGAAAAGATCCTTGGTATCTTAAAGTGTTCCCGGAAACAAGACAGATGCATCCTACCAGCGTCGCGGGACCATCTAAATCCAGAGCTGAAAAGATGCCCCGGTTGATGAAATGACGGACGAGGACCTTTTGGCCACAAAGCAGAAGATTGATGCCGTATTAACGGAACGAGCAGAAAGGTCACGGGCCAGCTCGGTTGCAGGATCAGGACGTGGACGTACTAGTTCGGTCACAGAACCATCCAGTGGCACCACGAAGAGTGGAAAAGAGTGAGATCACCGACGACAAGCCCAAAAGAAACTGATAAGAAAGGGCAGCGAACAAAGCCCACAGAAAGCAAAGCAACACCAGCTGAGCCGGCAAAGCCACAGGCCCCGATTCAGTGGGTAGAAAGAGTGTACCACCCACGCCGAAAGGAACAGAAGGTCAGATTCGATTCCCGAAGTGTAGAAGTTTCACGGCCAAGTACACGGGGAAGATCATAAAGAACGAAAGGTCACTGCACGAATAGTCGATAAGAAAACGAACAAAGAGATTGACTCGTATAATCCCTCATGAAGGTCAGTCAAGGATGCCATTGGGAAAGAGTCAAAAACGATAGTCAATGAGGCGCTACAGTTTATTCCTCCAGAAGAACGTCATAACCCAAGAGTTATCGTTCAGATGATGAAGCATGGTATCTAAAGTTGCAACCGAAGAAGATGCATGGATCCGTATCAAAGTGGGCACAGATGATGACCACTTGGCATACACATACACAACGGACGGCAAACTGTTGATCAAAGAGAACTCGCTCAAAACCGACGGCGGATCCAGATCCGAAGAAACGATCGTCAGATGATTATGAGTCGGTCCCGAGGTATACAGAGGCGACAAGCAGAAAGGTCACCCTCAGACTTTTCGCTGACAATGGAGAAGCTACGGAAACCATAACTGCGGTGATAGTTGACCCAATAACAGGAGACCCGGTCCCATATGCCCCATGGGATGTATCAGAAGAGAGCGCCCGAAACGCGAATCAGGCAGCTATTGACCAGCTATGGGATCTGATACCTGAAAGCGACCGAAAAGATGCCGTGGTTCAAGCGAGCACACTCATCAGCATGATGCGGCATCGAGCGGAGATCGATGGAGCACATTTCCGACTGACAAGACGAATGGAAGACGGGTCGTACAAAACGGTATTTTACGACGCTAAGAAGAACCCTTTGTGGGAGGTCGCCTCACAGGGATCTCCGAAAGAGACAAGACACTTGGAAATTCATCCCCCGGCACAAGAAGGCGGAGCCGGAGAGACGGAAGAGGTGCAGGGCACGTCGGCAAACGTAACTGAAACAGGAGGGCCAGACGTCGCTACAAGAGTACTCAGATTGCCCAGGAAGTCACGAGCACCTTCAGTGTGATGAACCAAACTGTGCTTATTGTAATCCACCTGGTGACGACGAACCAGAGACGGAAGACGATAACCCACCTGAGGAAGAAGGATCAGACAGAAGAAAATAAAAAAAGCCCTCAAAGCGAAGCCCTCAAAGTCAAATCGAGAAAGCGCCTAGATTGGAAGAGGCCATGAACCGTGACAAGGTTAAGAAAGGCGATTTTCTCAAGAAACGACGGAGGAAGAAGATAAGAAGAAACGACAGGAGGAAGAAGATAAGAAGAAGAAGAGCGGTGACGAAAGCGATAGCACAAGCACCGGGAAGAAGAAAAGAGATGAACCAGCGTCGATGTTGAGATATTGGACGAGTCAGTCGGCGAAGTTGAGAAAGGTCATCGACACCTACGACTTCAAAGAAAGTTATTAATTCGGCTACGTCAGAACCGTTAAAGCCCAAAGGAAAGGTCATAGCGGTGAAACAAGTTGTCCCCATTGTCATTTCCGCATCCACGCCAAAGAGCGCAAGGACAAACAGATTCGAAACGGGAGACGTCGCGTGAATCGGAGGCATCGGAAGTGAGCCTTCCAAGCACTTCGACGGTTAGTGCGAGGTCACACACGGACTCGAAAACGACACGATCAAGAACCACTGAACCAAGAAGCTTAGCGGAAGCTCTGGATAAAGGGAAAAAGCAAAGAGCGAACCCGTTAAAACCAAAGGAAAGGGCAAGACAGTCACGAAAATCGACGCATTAGCGACGGTTAATTACACTGAACCAGATGGGAGAGTGAACTGGACTTCACCTCAGACGAAGAATTTGATGGTCGATGATGATAATTTGAACACGGTCGATGAAGTAATCAGAGCGTATAACGGAGCTGAAAAGAATTTCACACGAATAAGAACGGCATCGGTGACATCCAAATTTAAAGCAGGCCTGAAGACGTATTTGAAGAAACAACATCGTAGCTTCACTAAACAAAAGTTCGACGTCGTATTGGAATTCGCGCGGAACGCAGGAAAACTTATACAGAAGCACCCGAGTTTCTCGTATGAGGCCTAGTTGTTCAGACCAGCCAGTTCGGATAAAGCGCTGACAACTCCGAATGAAGCGGTCCCAATGCGAGTAGAAAGGGCAATCGCGGGAATGACAAGCCCATTAGGGTCAACGAGTCACCGGATTAGCCAATACATCAACGCAGTTTGGAACGACGGAAATGGAATGCTAAAGGAGATCGACACGGCAACCGAGCGCGTATTGCCAAAGTTGATTAAACAGAACGTCCTTGCCACGACAAACGCACATAAAGGACACCCGATCCGATACACGAGAGTTGGTCTAATACCACCGGAAAGACAGATCCACTGTAATATGTCAAACAGTCAGGATATGGAAAAGGTCACAGTTTCATCGAAGACAAAAGGCCCAATGGATTCTGAATCGGAAAGCGACGACGACGCTACTATAACGGCTCCTTCTGGACTTACGACAGAAAAAGATGAACAGTCGAAAGGTCCGAAGACATCTGAAACTACCGCAGAAGTTCAACCGAAAGGTCATGAGGCTTCAGACAAACGGGAGAAAGAAAAGGTCATGCTCCCGATGGATAAGGCAGCGGCAGAAGCTGAAGCGGATTCGGCGCGACAGGTGTTTCACAAATCACTGTTCATACCATTAAAGGAGGTCTTTGAGAAGGAACGATCGAAATCGGTCGGCGATCTAAAGGTCAAGAGACTTTGCCGCAAGAGGAGAAGAAGACAGCCGAACCAAAATCGGCGGGGTCATCATCAGGATCATTGGCAAAGCTGAGGATCGACGAAACAGTGACAGCCGACCCAACGGACTCGACATCCTCCCAGAAAGTAGCGGCACACCGGCAAGGAGGCTACAGATTACGTTAGGGCCGGCATTGGACGTGAATAATCGCACATGGAACGAAGTCCAAGCTGCACTCCAGATTATTCGGGAAAAGAAATGCTTGGGACAGACCTGAAAGACAAGTGGCAATAAATACGAACGGAAGGTCGTCACTTAACATGACTGAACGAGCTCTCAAACGAGCATATAAGGAAGGAAAGTTGGGATGTAAATACAACAAGACAACAAAGTCGTCTACTACCTTCCGAAACAGGGCACGGAACGAACGCCCAGACTGAAAATGGAACTGGAGGCCTGGAAGATAGCCATCACAGATGTGGCTCTGGACGCCATTGGTGGTACCAATGGCGTGTCATGGAATGACCTTTCGAACTTCATGGCCGTCAATTATGAATTGGGAGAATTGAATATTGAAAGCGATAAGGAGTGGATTAAGAATGCCGTTGAAGCCTTGATCTCGGACGAAGTGCTTCATATTAAGCCAGATGGCCGAATCGATTTTAAGCCGTATAAACCATCGACGAAAGAATCCGAGTGAACTAATATAGTGTGATATGCAGCGAGTAATGAACCCTGCATATTACAGAAAAAGCATAAAACAGTTTAAAACGAAAGCGAAAAGTGTTACGAAAGGTCAACTGAAAGCAGTACCAGGACTAATAGAAAAGGTCACAGTAGTCAGAAAGTGCTGATAACGTAAGAAAGGTCACCACGTTACAGTGATAGAAAAGGCAGCAGGAGCTAGGAAAGTCTCAGCTCAGTAACGGAATAGGCGTAAAAATGATAGAAAGCCTTAACATGGAAAGGATTAACGTCGAAAAGGTTACTATGATGGATTGTTTTATAATTGCAGATTGAAGAAAGATGGCACAAAAGGTCAAGCCCCTTCTAAACGTTCGGGAATGGCGGCAGACATCGATCAGTTTACGGGCTATAATCCAAAGTGTCCGGACTGCTTAAGGAACAACAAAAGGTTGACAAGAAATTCCCTGCTACACTTGTATTCACAAGCTGGAAGACCCACATACCGTCACGCTTGTTGGGATCATGGAAGCCAAACGTGGGAACTTGGACGTTTTTCGAAATCTCATAAGCGCAAGAAATTACGGCAGCATCCCAGTAGAAGAGCGAATGCTATTCGAAGATCGTTACCGAGAAGCGATCCGAAACAACGAACCTGGCTGGGATGACACCTTGGAGCCGTTGAAGTGTCCACAGACAGACGCGTATCGGAAGAAATTTGAAGAAGACCAAGCGAAGATGCGAGTTCAGCGGATGGAAGACGAAATCCGCGCGAAAATTAATGCGGAAAATAAGAGAGCAAGTGAACAGGCTGCACGAGAGGGGCTGCCCAGCACATCGAGTTTAGTTGCACCTACGGGCATGGCCAGCCTTAACGAAGACGAAATGCAACTTGTACGACAATCACTTATCATACAAATTGAAACGATAACGAAAGATCCAGCTGCCATGTCAGACGAGGTATTCAAAATGCTGTTGCGGGAGAAGAAACGACTTCAAGACGGGTTCGCGCCGGCACCCTACATAAAGAAGGAAGTCGAAAGACGTATGGATGACTTACGTAAATCTCGCCGAACCGAAAGTGATGTGCTGCAAGCATTCAGGAATTTTAAACGGGACGAAGGCTTTATACGACCACGTTCGCCCCCGCATAGAGAAAGGTCACGCGGACATTCACGAGAATATGAGCGAACTTCTGAACGACAGAGAGAAAGGTCACGCGAACACTCTCGTGAAAGGACACGTGACTACCGCAACGAAAGGTCACGCGAACGTTCTCATGATAGAGATTACCGTGGCGGAAGAGGATGGGTGCGCCATGGAGACGAAGTTACGGAAATGAGTATTCAAAAACGGCGTGCGGAGACATTCCGTACAGAGCCTGAAAAGCAAGGGCATCAGGTGCCGATGGGAGTCGCATTCCGGAATCGTAACGTCAGGATGTCAACACCCGAAAGGTCATGGGATAAAAGACGTGAACATACGCGAAATCGAACGCCTGACCCACAGGATAAAAGATGGCAACAGAGAGCCGCATTTTACGCGACCTTTGACTCGGGCGCAAGCAAAAGGTCATCAAGCACTGAACGGGAAGATTCACCTCCAAAGTATCAGCGGGTAGAGTCAATGGTTCACGTCGTGGATCCAATTGCGAGTGTCGTACAAGAAGACGATGCGATGGAAGGAACCAGCTCGATTGCGGAAACGTCTCAAGAGAACGTGACCCATCGACGAAATGTAATTCTGGATAGTGACCTCCAACCGGAACAACCGGCGAGTAACGAACCGTTGCAGCCTGAGTCAGGAGAACAACGTGAACTGGAAGGTCAACGAGAACCGGATAATCATCGCCAGGCTGATCAGCGACAGAACTCCAGATTTGACAACCGACGTCCTGAAAGTATCGACATGGAATACAAGACGACTGATATTGATGAGCAAACGGTCGAAATTTGTCGATACTTTGGACTTGAGCCGGATTCGGTTGAAGCTAACAAGATCCTCACAATTTTGAGACAGTTGAGCCAATTCCTACTTGACTCAGGTTACGCGAGAGAGATTAAACAGGGAGTGGAACAAGGAACTTTTCGTCGATTATTCATCCACCGCGATTCAGTACGGGACTGTTATCTCCCTATCCGACGGAATGGGCTACACAGTTTGGTGGATTTAAGTTTATTGGATGTACCGCTGGATACAACTGACCCAATCGGGATGACACAGTTCTATTACAGAGACTATCCCGAACGACAAGAATACGTGGCTCAGTTTGTTTTACGACATGTGAATCCAGCTTTTAAGTTGCTTGCAGCAAGGGCATCGATAGGATTACAGGTGGATCCTAAGGACTATGCCGCAAAAAGGATGGGGCAAAAGGTCTTTGCTGCGAGACTGGCACATTACAAGACACAAAATCAACTGGTGTCTAATACCATGAAGGACGACATTCCACCGTTCTTCCGAGCTCATGTCGCTAAATTGGGACAACCAATGGAACATATCAGCATAGCGCATACAGCTCGCAAGGCGCTGAAAAAGTGTAAGACACGAATGGAAAAGGGCAACTTGACACAGCGCCACGCATCCCAAGTTGAAGAAAGGATTAATAAGATCAAAGATTCTCTGGGAAGCGACTACGTCGAACCGGTGGACGGAATCGAAACTTACATTGATGAATTCTTAGTGAAGAAAAGTGACCGTCGTCCAGACCGTGCGCCTAACCAGATGGGACGACGCGGCATCCGAAACCAACAGCTGCGGGATAATCTCGCCGACGTGCAGCGTCGATTGGCGGAAGACCCTGATAACCGCAGACTGCGACTCGAAGAGAATGACGCACGCCATCGACTTGAGGCGGTTAAGCGAAGTCGCCAAGGTAAAGGTCGTGGCCAGCGCGAAGTTGACCCGACAAAGGTCATGGAAGTTGACTCGACGGAACCAGTTGACCGAACTTCCGATCGAAACCAACCGGAAAGCGCTAAGAAACGCCCGCCGAGAGATGGCGAGGGCGATTCAAATGAAATGGAATAGTGCTGATCGTTAGGATCACACTATTAAAAGGACGTCTACGGCATTTGTCGGTACGTCACAAAGATTAAAATGGTGTTGTATAAAGGGCGCGACACGTGACATGTTAACATTAACTGTATTTGTGTATTTGCTGTTTGCAGCGTTTATAGCACAGAATTGCCTAAAAGAAATCATGTGGAATATCTATTGGGGTTGAAATTGATTCGGTCTATAAAGCCGGCCCCAAGGGAGTTGCTACGGCAGTTAGCCGGCCCTCCTCTAAAAGCGACTCAGTGTTATAAATGCACAAGAGAAAACTACGGTAATCAAGCCGGATCTCTTGAATACGAAACGGGGCCACAAGCGGCGAAAAAGAGAAAGACAACAGGTGGAATATTGATGAGGTTAACTTAATGCGGCAATTAGCCGGCCTCATTAGAGTTGTTACGGTAAACTATGCCGGCACTCTTTTCAAGCGATTCAGTGTTAAAATTAAAACGAGAAAAACTACGGTAATCAAGCCGGATTTCTCGTACTAACGTAAGCCACAAGCGGCGAACAAGAGTCAAAGATTTAAGGTGGAAATTTCATGGGGTAAACTCAATCCGGTAATTAGCCGGCCCCATCAGAGATGCTACGGTAAACTTGCCGGCACTCTGGCCGCTCGAGGCATATTGAAGTTGGATGTGCGACGGAAAGGTCAAACTGTAAATTTTACCAGGGAGGCAAGCAAGGAAGTGCTTGAAGCCGCAGAAAATCGGCTAAGTTCCTCCATGACCTTTAACAGAAGTTTTGACGAGTGGGATGACCTTTGGGATCATCAATTGCCCAACAGAGTCACCGTATCGGAATTCAAGTCGCATGACCTTTGGGACTATTAACCCAAAACGAGTCGCACATCTCAACGGATCATCTCAACAAAGGATGACCTTTATTAGGGAGGAAGCGAACTACGCTTGTCTTCATTGACGTCCCTCCATGACCTTTATTGGATCTCATTTTGAAGTCGTACGAATGATACGCACCATATTCCAAAGAGTGAAGCAGTATTCCTAAGTCGTACTTGATACGCACCTGATTCTCAAGCGGATTGTGATGAAAGTCGCATTACGGATGCGCGAAATTGCTCAACGGGCGGAATGGGCCAATGTGCGGAAAACGGTGGACAGGACCTGTGACCTTTACGAGTCAGAAATGGAGGATCCTAGTCTACATTTGGTTCATACTTTTGTTGATCTGTTTAACTGTTGATCTGTTTTATGATAGTATTTTTATAATTGGATCTCTTTATTCACATCGTATTAAATGAAATTGTGCCTTTATGTAATTGATGTGATAAAATGGATTATGAGAATTTGATGTTTTTGAGCACACACAGACACCGGCGACCGTCGTCTTCTCGTGGATTCGGGAGTGTGTCCAGCCTCACAGGAGCTCGGCATCCCCCCAGAGGCATGTGAGACCGGGATCACTAGCGTTCTCGTGAGTGGCGCTACGCCTGTGGCGCTACGCCTTAGGATTACGTGTCTGTGTTGTGTCTCTTCTGATTGGCTTGAGTTGTGTTAGTGGGCGCGGCATAGCGCGTGCTGCACAGTGTTACACACTGTTGAATGGGCTCCACGCTTTACGATCGAGCTGCGCCGATCATTATTGATTTTCTGTTGTCGGAATTTTCAATATTATTAAAAGTCAGCTATTAGCGGTGCGACGTTTCGCGATTCCGCGTAGTTCGCTATACTTATCGCATAGCTCACTCCACGGGATCTATTCCGTTTAGGTCTCCGTATCTGGATCACTGCTGGATCTAGCATTAGAGGACGTTGAATCCAGGCAAACTACCTGAGGCAAACTACAATTTTTTGTACCTGAGTAGATTGGCGAACGCGTCGGGAATGAAATCGGGAATCTCGATGGGAGCATGGCGAATTTCGGGCAGACTGCCATAGAACATGGTGCGGAACACGGAGTTGCGGATACTCAGGAAATGGCTACAAATGCACCAATAACAGAATTAAAATCTTGAAAACTCTTCCGACAATGGACGGCCGGGTGGAGCGTTACTTGTGGGCTCTGAAGATCTTCACAGGGCCAAAGTTGCCCCCAACGGCAAACTGCACATCACTGAAATCGCCGCTTGTTAATGCCTGCTGCATGCAGCTGACGACGGTGGACTTCATTCCGTCCGGTTGGGGAATGGCCGATGAAGTAGTATTTGTGGAGGCCATTCCGATGCCAACGGTGAATGCAACAGTTTGAGCCTCGAGACTTGAGAGTCCCCGATTAGCCGACGGCGCTGGAGTCGGAATATGGACAACACAAAAGATACACAGTTTTAAAAGATAAGTGTAAATGGAAATTGAGGAATAGTTTAAAACGCACAAACAGGAAAGCAAATTAAACATGTAGAATGTGACTTGTGCAAGTCTTATTAATTTTTATACAAAGCAAAAAAAGCGGTTCTGAACGCCACAGCAGCGTTAGTAGTTATTACTGTGTCTGCCTATCTGGCTGACTCTGGCACCATCGCTGATTGGCCTGAGTTGATATTCATTCATTCATGTATCAGGAGCAGACAACCCGTTTAACAGGACTTCAATATCTGGTCGGTAAAAAATGCAGCAAAAAATTACAGAAGAGGTTATTTAGACAGATCAACAGTTTTCAGAGCAAACTTGAGAAAGTATTACAGCGTGTACATACTCCCAGGCTTTCAGAAATTATTCCTGCTTTCGAATACAATTGTGATGGTTCTATTATGCCTAATTAGTAATTAACTATAAATTTTCATTTCTTTTCCTGTCTTTCCTGCTACTATCCGAGTGAGAAGCTACCGATGAAACGGTCCAGCCATGTCCACCTGTGACGGTGACGCCCGACTGCGGGTCCACCAATACAGCTCCTTCGAACGGTCCAAAGAAGCAAGAGCTGGGCAGCTGCCGCAGCGCCGTGGATTCTCGTGGCGCTAACCGGCTTCAAATTCTGGACGCCTCGTTATACGTCATACAGTTTCCGCTCCAATTACACTTAGCTAGGTATTCATCGAGCTGTATGAAAAAGGGCTTCGCGGACCGCGGTGGACAGTTATCAACACATCTCAGAAACAAAACAGTGCATTATACAGCGCCCCGTACGCTCACGGTCGTTTTAGCAAGTGGTAGTCGACAACTTTGGTCATTTGGCGATACCAAATAAATGGAGCAGTCGAAAAAGCAGCAGTAACCAGCAGAAACCGAAGTTATCGAACCGCACGGGAAGAGTGTAAAGTGCATTCTGTAATGCGCATGTTGCAGCTCAAACTGCCCAATCAGGCAAGCGTTTTGACAGTAGCGTGCAGTCGTGCAATGGAACAGAGTCATTCAGTCGACTCCACCGTCCTGATTCAGTCGACTCAATGACTACTCGTAGGACACGTACGTGCTCTCAACTCGAGTTAAGTGACCCCATTTAGGGTCGACCTACTCTACCTTTGGCCTGCCGCGGTACCGCCCTTTCGCTTTGCCTTTATGATTCGCGGCATTCGCCCTTTTCAGAGTTACGTACAGGACACAGCACGGTCATTCGACAATATTCATTTTTCGTGTATAAAATTTAAGCATTACGGTGTATCGTTATAAAATGATGTAATTTTGCTTGCTCTGAATCCTCTCGAATCCTTCTTGCAAACTGATGAAGATAATTTGTCTTCAGGATAACCCACCATGTCCACGAATTCAACTTCACCGAAAACTGCTCCTGGGAAGCAGCTGGGCAGCGGCCGAATCACTGACTACATGGAACGAACACTGGCGCAGGGAGAATTCACTGATGTGTGTTTCACAGTGGGACGTGATTTTGGCGAAGTGCAGAACTTTTCCGCGCACAAGTAAGTTTCGAGGGCTTATCCGAGTTCTTCTGGGAACAGCTGTTCTCATTTCACTTTGTATGTAAATACATAAATGGTCGGCTGTACCGAGATGATGTTCACTGTGTACAGACTCGTCTTGAGCCGCAGTGCAGTGTTTCGAGCGATGTTCTATGGAAGCTTGCCTGAAAAGTGTGATGCAGCTATCGGCATTCCCGATGTCCATCCGGAAGCATTTGCCAATATGCTCAGGTACCCTGAACGATTCTAATTTTCTTTTTGAAAATTTTTTCAAAGCTGCATGAAAACCTACTATGCCTCGTTTTTTTGGTATTACAGTTTCTTGTACACGGATTCATTTGATCAGCTCAGTGCTGACAATGTCTTCGCGACGATGAGCTGCGCCGACAAGTACATGCCGCAGCTGGTGCAAATTTGCTCTAACTTCATCGAACGCCGGTTGAATGCTGACAATTTTTTATCCACGTGGAAAGAGGCACGGATTTCTTCTTTAATCACTACGTACGAATCCTAGTCTATTACAAAATTAATATTCAAAAACGACTTGCCTGTCTGCAGGCTGTTTCTTCGCAAGCCGACAGCATCGTGGAGAAATGCATGGCTTTCCTGGATGCTAACACTGCGAAGATTGTGGAATCGGGAGAGTTCCCTGATATCTCATTGGATACACTGCACAGTACCTGCAGCGCGACACGCTGTCGGCAGAAGAGCACGATGTATACTTGACTGTTGAACGGTAAGCGAAGCACAGACCGAATGTTAAACTTGGAAGTAAGCACATCTCCAACAGCATCCGTCTGTCATGTCATTAGTGGCTCAACGAAAGAACCCATGCTTCAATAGTAACAAATAAATAAATATGACCTGATTAATGGCAAAAATCTGCACATTCCATGACAGCTGTCATGGTAGGTGGGCAACGGCTGCCTGCGCTCGTCACGCTATGGACGCTTCCGGCGCTAACCGGCGTCAGATGTTGGGCACGGCGCTATTTCTCGTCCGATTTCCGCTGCTGACCAACACCGAACTCGCTGATGGTCCCGGAAAGGTAACTGGAACGCCATGTTGCTGAATTTATTGGATTGTTGTTTCATGTTGTATTGTTTTAGAGCGGTCTGCTGATGGAGTCGGAGTTATACTCCTTGTTCATGTACCAGAATTCTAACACGAAGCTAGAGGGACGGTTTCCCACGCAGCCACGCACGGGACAGCGGAGAATCGTGTTTCCGGGTGCGGACATATTCGTGCTTCGGTCCTATTACCTTCAGCCAGCTAGAATAACCGGAGTGCATCAGCAACACGTTGTCTTCACTTGGTACAGCAACGACGCATTTCGCAAGGAGGGCACTACTCCGACGAAACTCGTGTTTCGTCCTCAGCAAGTCTTGAAAAGAGGTCGGAGCGTGCGCATCCTTTCATCGGGAGAAAATGCCGAATACGAAAGGGCCCTAATGGGTGGACTGCACCGGATAAAGGTGCGCGGGGAATACAAGACTGTCGGATTCACTGATTTGAAGGTGCTTTACAGAGAGGGTAGAACAAGGAATACCTTGGATTGAGTCGATGGCCAAACTTTTCTTGAACGGATAATATGTGCATCTGGTTGATAAACTGCCCGATGTTTTGGTTATTGCAACGGGGACGTCATTTGTATTCTTTTTATGGACATTCGTAATTTCTCAGCTTCGTTTCCATTTTTCATGTTACGTTACGAGGTTTCAGTAACATGATTCCAGCTCGAATGCAACATCAGGTCAAGAGCCAGCAAGATTTACGCAACCGTTGCATCCATATTGTTTTTCTTTAGAACTTGTTTTTACTTTTGTCCTCCGCCATCTGATGTCCGTCCTGCACTGTATTTGTAACCCTGTCACAATAAGAAACCGAGGCAAAAGCGTTTTTTTTATGTTTATTAAAAACTTTTGTCAAGGGGATGAAACTCGAAAGCAAACCTTCTCTGATAGAAAGAATTACGTAGGTCGCGTAATTACGTAAATCCTAGAAGGTGCTTGCAGGGTTGGAGATATGTCAGATGCGATCGCGGTTGAAACGTTTACTTCATGCAAACGCCGCCGTCAATCGAAGTTGCCTGCCGTTAGAGCTAGTCCACTCCGCCACTACATCAATGCGCACCTTTCCGCGATTGCTTGATACTATCGCCTCTTGGTGGCTGCATATCACGAACTCCATGCATGCATTACAATACCTTCAGAAGTTTTTGAGTTATTACGGTTTCCAGTGGCTACGATTTCTACTTACTTATCAGCTGCAGTCCAACTATGCACAAAAACTTCCTTTTTCAATATTCAGTAATAAAGGGACTTTATGAACAAACTTCAGAAATACCGTATGTAAATACAAGTTGTACCAAACATACAATCTACAAAAAAAGCAGCAGTAAACATCTAATCTGATCCTTTTTAAATTAGGCCTCCTCAAGGCTGAGTCAGATATCAAGCCCAAACAACGATGTTTTGACTAATAATCGTCATTATAATGCTGCCGGACAAGCACTGCATTGCCAGGTTTATATTTTTTGTAATCTTTTATTGAGTCAGTACTGATCGAAACATCCTCGACGCGGATGACATCCTGTGACGCTGCGCTGCCTTCCTGGCCATCCTTCCGCCGAATAAATACCAATTCTGACTGGCGCATGCCGGTAATCAGGGCTGGTTGCCACATACACACCGTGGGTGTCTTTTTGCCGGAAGCAGTACGCCGGAAAGCTGCGGACTTGACGAACACTTCATCTCCCACTTGGAACCCGGTTGGCATGAGCCCATTTTGCCGACATTCCGGTGGAAATAGCAAAGGTGGTTTCACTGCGGCATTGCGGTAGAGGAAGATGTTCACCAGCTCGGATTCCGTCAGCAAACCACTCTGCACCGAGAAAAACACAACGAGTGTGTACACGCTTTACGCTGTGATCCAGTACAGAGACAAGGTATCCGAAGAAATCAAAAATATCTCACAAACATTGGTAATCAGACAGATGAAAAACACCAAATCTCACCTTGGCGGGGCCCTCAGCAAGCTGCGCGTAACTCAGCAACGAAAAGCGGACCAGGTACAAGGCGTCTCCCAGCATTTGACGACGATGGACAGCGGACGGCTCCAGGTCGTGGCGACAGCAGGCTTCAGTAGCCCATCTGCAATCGACAATGCTAAAATAATGATAAAGCTGCGACTTGCGCACTTGATACTGTAAACTTTCAAGCATCGCCACAACAAAAACCACAACATCGTATGCGATCAAACTTCGAAAACCAAAACTTTCTGCAGCCAAATGAGTTAGTAGTTATATTGTAATCGAAAGGCGTAGTCCATACACTTACCGTTCCACAGCCAAGTAAATGTCATGTTCCACAACAGCCAGCGCATTACGCTGCAGAATAATCAGCAGGGTACTCTGGCTGATCGCCAAGAACTCCTCCGACTTCAGAACGGCGCTGCTCTGCTCATCCACCAAACGGAAGCACTTCTCCGCGATACCATCAGCATGCCAATACAGGGCCTGTAATTCGTTCGTTGTCCTTTTGATCAGTCGATCCATCGGTTCATCATTTTGAAGTTCGCATTAAATTTTTAGGCACAGTACGCACCTGCTCCAAAGCGGACAGACAATTCCCGGGGGTCAGATTACTGTGAATCATCTCCAAGCAGACGCGGACTAGCGGCGCAAAATCATACTTGTCAGCGCAGTTCATCGTGTGGAAGACGTTGTCCGCATTTAGATTCTCCACTTTGTCAGTGTACATGAAACTGGACAACGCGAACGTGCAACAGTAATGCAATATTAAATATTTCTCTGCTTGAATATCTGTAGCAGAACGATGAAGCCATGTATCTTTTTAAGGAAAGATATGTCACCTGAGCAGGTTGGCAAACGCGTCGGAAAAAAATCCGGAATCTCAATGGGAGCTTGACAGGTTTCGGGCAGGTTTCCATAGAACATGGTGCGGAACACGGAGCTGCGCATACTCAGAAAATGCCTACAATGGCTACAAACGCATCAGAAACAGGATGAAAATCTCGAACGCTTCATCAATCGATGCCATTGAGGGGACTGTTACTTGTGAGCTTTAAAGATCTTCACTGGGCCAAAGTTACCCCCAACGGCAAACTGGACATCGCTGAAATCGCCGCTTGCCAATGCCTGTTGCAGGCAGCTGGCGACGCTGGGTTCAGGCTCGCCTTGGGATACTGTCGACGAAGAAGGATTTGTGGATGCCATCCCGATGCCGACGGTGAACAACAATTGAGGACCCGGTAGTCTCCGTTAGACGCCCTCGCAGCAGTCGGAAAATGGCTATCCTACACAGTTCGCAACTGAAAACGCGCACCCCGTAGTAGTCCGTACTGTGTCGGCAGACACCAAGTTTTAACGGAATTTAGGAAAAGTTCAAAAACCAAAAACGTGCCGGCGCATTAATCGAGAAATGGTAAAAAAATAATAGTAAAATATGACTTGTAAAATCTGGAAATAACAGAAAATTAAGTGGCAAAACGTCACATGCGCTGGAAATGACTACTGTATGCTGCATATTACCGTCGTTGCCAGATAAACTTCTACAAGTGATACCGTGGTGTCATGGGGCTACCGTGGTGCGGCTTGTACGTACAGTTCTCATACATGTACTTAAACGCCCGGGCTTTCGGACGTGCTGATTCCTGCTTTCGACTTTCGAGAATCATATTGAATTAGTTGGTTTATTCTGCTTAACGGGCTTTTGACTGTAACTGCAAATTTTGTTTCCACGTGTTTTTCCTGCCGCAGTTGGAGTGAGCATTGAGCAGCCAAGGACGAAATAGCCAACCATGTCCACGAGTTCAGTTTCTTCAAAGGGTCTTAAGAGGCAGAAACTGGACAATGGCGGAATTGCTGGCATGATGAAACGGACCCTTGCAAGTGGAAATCTCAGCGATGTACGCTTCGCAGTAGGACGTGACTTTGGCAACCCGAGGAACTTTCCCGCGCACAAGTAAGATGACCGCTTTGCTTCGAAAGATCTTCGGAGTTCTCTAACTGTTTATCCCGTTGTTGTTTTGATTACGATACAACCTGATTACGATACGATAACCGAATGCCATGCGACTAAAATGTGAATGCCTTGTTTGTAGACTCGTTTTAAGCGGTCGCAGCGACGTCTTCCAGACAATGTTCTACGGAAGCCTGCCTGAAAAGTGCGATGATGCCATCGACATTCCCGATATTCATCCAGATGCATTTGCCAACATGCTCAGGTGCGTTGTGGAGGGCATTGTTTACCGCATTGTAATTTGTTCTGAAGTACACTGCGTGACTGCAGTAATATTTCCGGCGAAGTACGGCTGAGCTAATTTATACGCAACAACACTTTAAAATTATTAGTTGAGTTGTTTTGTTTCTGCACTGGTTGACTCAATCCTTTTCGATTTGCAGTTATATGTACACGGACGCGGTTGACGATCTGAATGCTGACAACGCATTCGCGACCATCAACTGCGCGGACAAATACGATTTGCCGCAGCTGGTGCAGATTTGCTGTAACTTCTTCGGGAGCCATTTGAATGCCGAGAATTGTCTGGCCACTTGGAAACAGGCACGGTTGTCTTCTTTCGCAGTGACTATGTAATATGTAATGCCTCAGTTACAGATGTGAAAGATGGGTTTCTTTGCCAGCAGGCTGTGGGTTGGCATGCCGACAGCGTCGTGGAGTTGTGCGTGACTTTTCTGGATGCGAACACTGCTGCAGTTCTTCTGTCCGCTGGATTTACTGACATTTCCCAGGAAACGCTGCAAGCCATTCTGCAGCGCGATACGCTGTCAGCGGAGGAACACGTAATCTACATGGCTGTTGAACGGTGCGTCATGCGTACTCCAGTCTCTAGGGTGCAGATAGAACTCTAAACCAGGCTTTTGGTATAACATAGTAGATATCCTATACTATTATAAAGAATCAATTGCTGAGTCTACTTAGCGCTTGAACAAAGAGGACAACAGTGTCGCCAGTTCGAGTTTGTCACTACTACCTAAGGTATCTGTTATAGGTGGGCAGCGGCGGCCTGCACACGGAACGCCCTGGATGCTACGGGCGCCAACAAGCGGAAGATGTTGGGCGGCGTGTTATTGCTCGTACGGTTTCCTCTCCTGGCTAGTACCCAATTGGCTGACGGCCCCGGCAAGGCAAGTGAACCTCGGGCACAGTGAAATCGCAGTGTTCGCGTTTTTGGCTAACTGTGTTTTTTGTCTCCTAATGACAGAGCGGCCTGCTGACGGAATGTGAGTTATGTCGCTTGTTCTTGTACCAGAACGCCACAACAAAGCCGGAGGGAACCCAATTCGGCACGGAGCCTCGAACGGGACAATGAGGAGAACTGATTACGGGAGCTGACGTGTTTGTGCTAGAAGGCAGTTGGTGGGAGCCAGCCAGATTGACTGCGGCGCACCAGCGGCACGTGGTGTTCACTTGGTACAGGAGCGGCCTGGAAGCTGTTGCTGCTGCTTCGGAAAACAAAGTAGTTGGTGCGCAGCACGTCCTGAAAAAGGGACAGGAAGTGTATGTCAACTCTTGGGGCCCCTATTGGCAGTACGAGGGCGCCGAGAAGGGCGGCCGGCATCGGGTGAGTATTAACGGAAGCAATCGGACTGTTAAGTTCGCTGATTTGAGTATCGAAGACGAGTGTATGCCATCCTTAAAATGAAAAGATGGAAAATGAACTGATTAACAGATCAAATATTTCTTCGCTTGTATGAGACACGTTCTAGGGAACGGACTGGACTGTTAGTTTTTCGGTTTGCACTATAAGCATCCTTATCACGCTGATGAACTTAAATGTGATCTTTTTACGACTTTTTATCGAATGGTTAATCTGGATTCTTTGTATGCTTCGGTTAGTGCGTTGTTTGACATCACATGTCCTCATTCGTTTATCCTGTCGTTATAGGATCGACGAAAGAACGCATGCTTCAACAGTAGTCTACAGTCTACAGCCAAAGTATGCGAATGCGTAGTCTACAGTCAAAGAACGCATGCTTCAACAGTAGTCTACAGTCTACAGCCAAAGTATGCGAATGCGTAGTATGTTAAAAAAATGCTCTTCTTACACTATTACGTTGAAAAACGTTCCAAAATCGAAACCATTGGGAGCCTCGCGTTAAATATGACCTGATTAACGGCAGAAATCTACAGGCTGTCGAATTATTTGCACATTCCAAGAAAGTTGTCATAGTAGACGGACAGCGGCTGCCTGCGCTCGTCACGCTATGGACACTTCCGGCGCTAACCGGCTTCAAATATTGAGCAATGCGCTATTTCTCGTGCAATTTCCGCTGCTGGTCAACGCCGAACTTGCTGATGGTCGCGGCAAGGTAATTGGGACGCCATATTGCTGTATTTAATGGATTGTTGCTTTGTAATGCTTTTTCATAAAGCGGTCTGCAGACGGAGTCGGAGTAATACACCTTGTTTATGTACCAGAATTCCACTGCGAAGCCAGAGTGTCTGTTTCCCACGCAGCCACGAACGGGACAGCGGAGGGTCTTGTTTCCGGGAGCGGACGTATTCGTGCTTCGGTCCGATTACTTTCGACCAGCCAGAACAACCGGGTTGCATCAGTAACACGTGGTCTTCACTTGGTACAACAACGAGGCATTCCGCTAGGAGGACACTACTCCGAAAGAGTACGTGTGCGGTTCTCAGGAAGTCCTGACAAAGGATCGAAGCGTGCGTATTATATCCCCGGGCGAGTATGCGGAATACGATAGAGCTGAAATGGGCGGACTGGATCGGATAATTGTGAACGGGAATATAAGACTGCCGGATTCGCTGATCTGAAAGTGCATACATCACGATATATAGGGTAATGGAAGGGAAACCTTGGAACCGAGTCGATGGCCAAGCTTTTCTCTTGTTGATGAAGTCTGATGCCTTTGTTTGATGCACTACGCTTTGTTTGATGATGCACCGATGCCTTTGTTTGATGCACTGCCCGAATTGTTTTCGTTTTACATGTCGAGGTTTCAATAAATAATTCCAGCGAGTATGCGAAATCAAGTCAAGAGCCTGCTATGATAACACAACCGTTGCATCCGTATTGACTTTCTTTTGACCTTTTTTTAACTGTCATCCTCCGCCATCCGATGTGCGTGCTGCACTGTATGTGCTAGCTTGTCATATTAACAAATCGTGCAAAATACGTTCTTTTCTGTTTATTAGAAGCTTGTGTCACGGAAATGGAACTCGGAACAAAGTTTCGGGGGAAAAATCTCCTTTGACTAGTAAAGAATTACGTAAAGTAAAGTCGCGAATCACAGGAAGCCAGAAAGCGCTTCCTGTGCCGAAGATACATCAGCTGCGATCGCGGTCGAAACGTTTTCTTCAGGCAAACGCCGCGAGAGCTGCTCCACTTCGCGACACTACCAATGCGCCACGCTCGGCCTTTATATACCAAACACCGTCGTGTGCGAACATCACAATACCATCCGGAAATTTCTGTGTTATGGCGATTTTCAGCGGCTATGGTTGGCATTGGTTGCTGCTCACTTAACAGTTGCAATCCACATATCAACAAACTCTCTTTCAATAATAAAGGCACTTCAAACTTTATAAGAAAATTTCAGGAATACCGTATTAGTACAATAATTGTCGTTTCAAAAAAAACAGTAAACATCACACCTGCTTCTGCAAATTACGCCCGATAAGTCAGACATCAAGCCCAGAAAATACAGTGTTGACTAATCATTATCTTCATTATAGACGTAGAAATACATCCCTTTGCCAGGTTTGTATCCTTTGAACCGTTTGTTTTCTTGCAAAGACTCATCGCTGATCGTAACATCCTCGACGCGGATGACATCTTTTGGCGCTGCGATGCCTTCCCGGCCACTTTTGCGCCACGTAAATGCCAATTTCGATTGACGCATGCCAGTAATGACGGCTGACTTCCAGCCGTACGCCGTGGACAGAATTTCACCGTTACCATAACAGGTTCGGGAAATTACGCGCTTAACGAACACTTCATCGCCCACTTGAAAATCGGTTGATACCAGGCCATTTTGATTTTCACGACATTCCGTGGGAAATGGCAGTGAGGGTTTCACCGCGGCATTCTGGTACAGGAAGATGTTCAGAAGCTCGGACTCGGTCAGCAGGCCGCTCTGCCAGGAGAAGAACACAAGTATGCACAAGCTTTGCGCTGCACGTAGATTACTGTACAAGACGTCGGGAGAAATTAAATATAATTGAACCTAACCTTGGCCGGACCGTCAGCCAGCTCCGCACCACTCAGCAACGGAAACCGAACCAGGTACAAGGCATCTCCCAGCATTTGGCGACGATGGACAGCGGACGGCTCCAAGTCGTTGCGACGGCAGGCTTCGGTAGCCCATCTGCAACCATGCTTAATGATAAAAACTCAGACCAAGCACACCTCCCACTAAACTCCTTCAGGTATCGGCACAAGTTCCCCAGCCGCACAACAAAACCAGCAAATTGGCACGCTATCAAAGTTGGAAGTTTCAAGGGCAAGAGATATCCATGTACATACTTAGTACAGTATGTATATACTTACCGTTCAACAGCCAAGTAAATGGCATGTTCCACAACAGACAGCGTATTACGCTGCAGAATAACCTGCAGCGTACCCTGACTGATCGCCGTGAACTCTTTCGACTTCAGGACCGCGCTGCTTTCCTTATCCAACAAACTAAAGCACTTCTCCGCGACAGCGCCCGCATGCCAATGGAGTGCCTGCAACTTCCTGGTTGTCATGCAAGACGCTCATCTTTTCTCTATCTACTGTTGTGTTACAGGAACTTACAAGTACGCACCTGTTCCAGGACGGGCAAACAGTTGGCGGCGCTCAGCTGGCTGTGGATCATCTCCAGACAAACCCGGACCAACGGCGCAAAATCATACTTGTCAGCGCAGTTCATCGTGAGGATGACGTTGTCGGTGTTCAGGTTCTCCACTTTATCCGTGTACATAAAGCTGAAAAGCGCGCACGTACAATACAACAGCAATACAACACCGAATAGTCCGAAATAAATGCTAGCTACTAAGTACCTGAGCAAGTTAGCGAACGCTTCGGGAATAAAATCCGGAATCTCGATGGGAGCTTGGCGAGTTTCGGGCATGCTTCCATAGAACATGGTGCGAAACACAGGGCTGCGCATACTAAAAAAATTCCTACAAATACAACAGAAACAGAATCAACAGAAACAGAATCAAAATCTTGAAAAATACTCAAGCAAGCGATGGATGAGTGGAGCATTACTTGTGAGCATTGAAGATCTTCGCTGGGCCAAAGTTGCCCCCCACGGCAAACTGCACATCGCTGAAATCGCCGCTGGTCAATGCTTGCTGCATGCAGGTGGCGACGCTGCCGCCCGTCCGTCCGTCTTGTTGGGAAGCGGTCGATGATGTTACATTTGTGGAGGCCATTGCGGTGCAGGCGGGAAAGACAACAGTGGGTGGGCTTGATAGTCTCCGTCCGACGGTCCGAGTAGGCGACGGCGTTGCAGTCTGGATAAGGTTAGCCTTCGGAAATCGCAGCTGAAAAAACACACCGAGTGCTGTTTCAGGACTCGGAAGACAACAACTTTAAACGGAAATTTTGGAAAAGTTCGAAAATCAAAAAGGGGACGGTGTATTAATAGTAAAATTTACCATGTGTAAAATCTGGAACTTTTAGATACTGCTCGCAAAACTCCAAACTTTGGCGCTCAAAGCGTCACAGCTGCTTTGGAAATCACTACTGTATAGCACCGTCTCTGATTGGCTGATAGCGTGTAAGTCGATACCGCTTGTACAGTTGTACGTACAGTATTTGAACGTCCCGGCTTTCAGACATGCAGATTCTGTTATTCTCTGCACCACATTTTTTGCAGATTCTTTCTTTCAAAATCTTTCAAGAATCCAGTGGGCTTTTTTTCCGGTAGCTTCCATTGCGGGAAGGCCAGCTCTTCCCACAAACAAATACAACCGGCCGTGATACGCAACGGTTGCACTGCCATGCAGTTGAGTCGGCATCTTGGCTTTCGCGATTAAATGGCGATGTTCTTCGCCGAAAGCATACACCTCCCGGTCGGCTTCCAGTACGAAGATACGATCGTCAATTCCGGCCATTCTGGCTTCTCGGGCAGGAAATTTACCCACATTCGTCCACTGATCCACGCCGGCATTTTACCTGTACAGACGGCAGGGGTCCTCTTGAGTCTTGACCAACCGCATCCGCCAACACCTAGACTCGCAGTTGACCGTCTTTCACCATATACAGGATAGGACCACCCCAAATGTGGCGGAACGGCGCCCGGCACGCTATAAATGCTGGATGTCAGCGGATCGAAACAGTACAAGTCGGCCACATTCATGTTCTCCGCTGTTTTTGTCGGCGTGTTGTAGCCCCACATAAAAATGATCACAGATTCTGCAGTTCACAGCAAAATAATACATTTAACTCTTCATGCAACACTGTAACAAGGGATTTCAAGCTTTCCCAATTAATAATAGTTAAGAGACGTTTAACAGCACATCGTTTTCTTATCGGACCAACTGAAAACGCCAATGGAATCGCTGTAAAAATGCAGTGTTTGCATTGCTCTTGACCGGAACAGGCGGTCGCTTACGTCTGCATAGGACCGTTCAAGGAAACGTAAGAAAAATGTAATACCTGTGAAACCGACCTTCAAATTTATTTCTGCAGGTCTGACGTTTTGACTTCTACCGCGTACCAACGGCTTTTGTCCAGACTACCCGAGACTCCGCAGTCGGCAGAGTCCTGAATGTATCCCAGCCACTGAATCTACACGTAGTTATGGCATGCACCCAGCACCGTTACTAACGGTAAGAGTTGCGGAGTTGTCGTGTGGAATCGGCTACAGAAAAGACCGCTCGCTGAAGGGGTTGACCAGCGGGAGTGTCGGGCGGGGAGGCAAGGGAGCCGACCGTCAACAAGGGCAACCAATCGATACAAGGGCAACCAATTTTTAGTTGGTGACACCAACTAAAAATGTCAATGGAGTCTTAAATTTTTAGAAAACGAGTGTAGTAACCAGCTAACAGCGAAACAATTTTAAATCTTCAAATCTGTTCCTACATATGTGGCCTCCGGATGGGTGGCTCATCAGCCGTACCTTCCACCCACGGGTGGTGCTTCTTGAACAATTGGATCTACGTCGTTCAACGAGAATACAAGTTACACGAACTATTCAAACGTTTCTCACTTCGACCGTCACTCGATGGTCTTTTGGTTTTCCTATAATTTGCTTTGTAGAACCGTAGCTTTGTATTTTACTCTGTATTCTCCACAATTTCCCACGTTTGAGTGATCCGTAACCTGCTGATTATAATACGCAGCCATGTCCCTGAAAGCAACATCATCGACGGTTCCTGGAAACGGAGTGCCAGATCCGAACACTGGCCAAATTGCGGATTTCGTGAAGCAGGCATTTCTCACTGGAAAACTCAGTGATGTTAGCTTCGCAGTGGGACGTGACTTTGGCACAGTGAAGATCTTTCCCGCACACAAGTAAGTGGAAAGCAGATTCGAATCACTTGGGCAATGTTTTGAACCTTCGAACGATTTTTGCTTATTTGCCATCTTCCTGCATTTCACCATTTCGTCAGGACTTTTTGAGCGTGAAGGCTGATTGTAGGTTCGTCTTGTGCATTCGCAGCGCTGTGTTCCATACGATGTTCTATGGGAGTCTGCCAGAAAAATGTGAAGGTGCCATCAACATTGCGGACATTCATCCAGATGCATTTGCCAATATGCTCAGGTACTTATATGGTAGAAATCCTTTAGTTTTCAGTGGGGCCAGGTTGTTTGATGAGAATGCAAATTGAAAGAAACGGGAAAACTAAACATTTTGCCATGTTTGTAGAAGAGTTCTTCCTCTTATCGCAGAGATGGTGCACGAAAATAGTTTATCATTACTGATTGCTTTCTATATATTTAGTGTCTGAAGTTTTCCATTTAATGCCGTTCCGTTGATCAAATTTTGAAAAAAACTTTTTCATAACTGATTTGATTAACTAAATAATCATTCTATTCGTAGAAGGTTTCGTATAATTGCAAACCTATCTCAGGAACTGTCATGGAGGCTTTCCATTGGGGCCTTTTCGAGTTACCTTTGTTTGCTGTGTAACTGCTCGGTTAAGCCAAATTTAAATCTGTGCCTTGCAGTTTCCTGTATACCGATGCCGTGGACAGTCTCAGTACCGACAACGTCATCGAAACCATGGTGTGCGCTGACAAATACGACGTTCCGCAGCTGGTGCAGATCTGTTCGGATTTCCTTGATCGCCAGCTGAATTCCGGGAATTGTTTGACTTGTGAGCGGGGGTTCACTAGCGTTCACGTCCGCAACGCTACGCCACTGGATTACGTGTCTGTGTTGTGTCTCTTCTGATTGGCTTGAGTTGTGTTAGTGGGCGCGGCATAGCACGTGCTGCACAGTGTTACACACTGTTGAATGGGCTCCACGCTTTACGATCGAGCTGCGCCGATCATTATTGATTTTCTGTTGTCGGAATTTTCAATTAATTAAAAGTCAGCTATTAGCGGTGCGACGTTTCGTGATTACGCGTAGTTCGCTATACTAATCGCATAGCTCACTCCACGGGATCTATTCCGTTTAGGTCTCCGTATCTGGATCACAGTTGGATCTAGCATTAGATGGTAGCAGAGCCGACAGCGGTTCTCTGATTTGATTTGATTTGTGTCAGGCAAAGTTGGCCTGTTATTTGATGCGATTTCCGACCAGTAAAGCACAGGTCCTTCGAAAAGCAAAGCGCACACCACAAGCGGTGAACGGCCTCATCTGACGTGGATTTTCCAGCTTTGGTTTTCGGTACAGTGTCTTCAGCGAAGACCTGTGCTGTTCCACTGCTGTGCAAGAGTGCAAGAGTTCAGTCGTCAGTGTTCCTCGGTGTAGAGTCTTCAGCGAAGACCTACACTGGTGTCATGATACTCGGCAAGGATTCAGCGAATCCTAAGCCGTGGGCCACAAGCGGCGAAGCGCTAAAAGGGGCGCACGGGAAAAGACAGATCAGACTCCTCCAAACTGGAGTAGAGCACCACTACTGTTGCTACGGCAGTCAGCCGGCACAGTAGCATTTGAAAAGCGGGCGGCACAACCGCTACGGAAAAACCGGCGGCAGCGCGGGAACGGACAGTGGAAAAAGAATCTGGATCATCTGGATCACTTTCTCGTGGAAACGGACGGTTTAACGAGTAGAAAACCGTTATTAATTACGGGATTGGTTAGATGGTAAAATTGTCAATTTCATTGGTCCGTACTGAGCTGAGCGTAGATGTAGGCGGAGTTTTGCACGCGGCGCGCATGTCTGGCCGTTGACCGTGACGTCAGGCTCAGATAAAATTTTTAAATGGTGAAACGGGATTGGTCAGTTATCTGAGCTGTGATTGGCCGAAATTTGAACTGAATATTTTGAGCTAGCGGACCAATCAGAACGAAGTAAACAACCCGAATGGGGATTTTCCGCTGAACTCTGAGTCGTAATGGGAAATTTGATCTGAGATAAGATAACTGAGCGGAAAGTGACCTTTAGACTTGAATTGAGTTGAGAAGTGACCTTTTGAGTTGAGACAAAGGAAAAGTGACCTTTGATCGAATTGAGCTTAAAAGTGACCTTTAACTTGAATTGAGCGAGAAAGCGACCTTTTAACAGAAATTGAGTCAGAAAGCAACCTTTTGAGTTGAACTGAGTCGGAAAGTGACCTTTGAGACCAGAACAGGACTTTTGACCTGAAAAGTGACCTTTACTAAAAAGTTGGAATTGTCCTAATTGACTTATTTAAGTGACCTTTGTGATCTGAAACTGACGAAAGGTGACCTTTATCGAAGTGAAATTGAAGTGAATAGTGATACAGCGATATCAGCAGCTGTAGGATTTCATTCGCTAACGTATTTCGAACTGTAAAAGCGGTTTCGAAGTTTTGTCCGAAAGTGACCTTTTAGGGCAAACCTCTCGAACTTTTTACCGAAAAAGTGACCTTTAAACGGGACTTGGTCGAAATTTTTCAGTCGAAAAGTGACCTTTAATAAGGACTTAGAAAAATTTCGGAGGTACAAAGTGACCTTTAGGACAATTGAATAAACCATACAATAACGTGTGTGTGAGAACAATTGACAGGAGCGTCCAAGTTATCCGATCAACATGGACAAAGAACAAGAGGAACCGACATCTAACAGCAGTCAGGGAAGCAAAAGCTCCCGCAGCTCACAGCAAAGCGCACCAAATCCATACAAAAGGATCTGTACCCGTACTCACGTCCAGTTGGACATGAGCGGAACACTCGAGCGCCCAAGGCATTCGAGAAGAAGGATTCACGAGGCTCTGATAGCACTTATCAGAAGGCGCTCGAGGCGGTCGCCAATCAGGAAAGTTCAAGCGACGACCAGAAGCACACTCCCGCGTCTACGGCGGGAAGCGATCCGATGAACCAGACAAAGGTCACCGGGGAGGATAAACCCACAGCAAGAGGAGCGGAATCAGTTGGAGCATCACAGTCGGATGCTACCACCAGTGGAACGAATGAGCAGGATAAAAATGTGAACCTGGCTCAAGTGGATGAGAGAAACACAAAGGTCACCGAAGAGGAACTGACTGAACTGGGATTGGATGACCTTTCACTGAATGATAAGACCGCAGGCGATGACCTTTGGTCAACTCCAATGGTCTCAGATGAATCGAACGAGTCCTACTTCACGGATGATGAAGCGACGATGAACATGTCCTTCCAGACTGCGATGAAAGAAGCTGACCGTGCTGAAGGTATGACACCGATTCAAGGACATACCCGAGCACCTCATTGAACGGACACAAACTGGAAAGGTCATCAATGTACAGACCGCCGTCACCGAACAGCCCCACGTCAACTCTTGAGGAGACGCGTCAGCGAATTGGAAAACGAACTGGAAGTTAACGAACGACAGGCGGACAAGCGGAAACAGGAATACCGAGAAAGACTGACCACACTTGAAACCCGCCTGTTTGATCTGGAACAACAACAGGGTGACCTTCAAAGTGCCGCAGACGGTTGGAAAGTGAAATACGAAAGACAAAAGGAATTGGCCGACGAATATTTGAAAATGGCAGATGACAGAGAAATGGAAGGTCATCTTGCAGTCAGTGACCTTAACGAGAGTATGTCCGAAGAAACAGCGGAAAGGTCACGACACTTAGCCGAATTGAAGGATGAATGTGACTTACTTAAACTAAAGGTCACCGAAGCGGAAACGAAACGAGATGAATACGCAACCAAACTCGTCGACGCGACCCAACGATTGTTGACAAACACCAACGAAGTGTTTAAGCTGAGAAATGAATTGAAGTTACGGGACGAGAACATTGGAACCCTTCAGAAAGAATCACAAGATCATCAGAAGAGAGCCGATGACGCTGTCAAAGTGGCTAAGGACCTGAGGGAGCTCACAGCCACTGAAGGTGTGCGGTTGAAGAACGAAATTAAGCAGGTGATGGAAGAGAACAAGTCGTTGAAAGAAGATGTTCGAAAGGTCACCGAAGAGAATACCGAGTTGAGAAATACCGCTAAGACAATTGCCGAGCAAGGCATGAGGTGGGAACACGAGGCACACCTCCTGGATGAAAAGGTCACGGTACTTGAATTGAAAGATAAAGAGTGGCAACAAACGGTCCATCAGAAGACACAGGAGATTATCAGACTGAATACGGAGCTGATTGATATGACACAAACGGCGATGACAAGAGAAGATGAGGTCACCGTGACGAAAAATCAGCTGAAAGCAGCAGCCGAAGAATACATGACGCTGGAAAGGGATGTGACCCAGTTGGCGGAACACATCAGGAAAGTGGAAAATGATACTGAAAAGGTCATTCAAGACAAAACGCTTCAACTGCATCAGCAGATGTCGAAGGTCAACCAAGAGAATCAGAACCTGAAGAATGAGAAAGAACAATTCGATTTAAGGATTAAGCGCCTTGAAGATGAGAATAAAGCTCTTCAAATGTCCAACAAACACAAAGATGAACAGCTCCTACAACACGGAGTTAGAACATCAACGGTGGAATCGCCCCCGCCCAGTTACAGCAAGGCGCATGAAACGGGCACGGGTAAAAGCTTCCACTTCGATATGCCGCTACGAACTGGTACCGGTAAGGGAAGTGTCAAAAACGAAAGGACGGGGAAAAGGCAAAGATGACAAAGAGCCACCATCGGAAAGTTACCCGCATATGAGTCGAGGTGACCCTTCACAATTTCCCCGCACACTTTGGAAACAAATGTGTTCATCGATGAAGGGCGACGGGACAGACCCTCCAGCCGGCAGGAGCGTCCTAAGGAAATCCCGGTATGGAAAGGCGAAACGAAATCAAAGTGATGATGGAAGTAGCGAAGAAGACGATGACCAGAGGGCAGAAAATACAGCGGTGCAATTGACAAAAGCACTCAACTCGATGGCCAGGAAAACACCACTCATGACCTTTGACGGCAGTCGTGACACAGTGAGTGGGTGGACACGACTAGTAAAAGAAACCCAAAGAACCTACCAGCTAACGGACGACCAAATTATGATTGAGATAGCAAGTGCGGTGAAAGGTCCTGCAAAACTTGGTTCGAAGGGGAGAAAAGGACATCGCAGCCGAAGATGGAATTGAATACTCAATAACAGAGTGGATGGACAAATTCAAAGATGAATATGGTGATCGAGATGAAGAAGTCTTAGGCTTACGTGAAGCCTATGCAAGAAAATTCGAACTCGGAAAGGAATCGCTGGACCAGTATTATCAGGCGATGATGCGATTCAAAGCAAAAAGAATCATCACGGAGAAACAAGCAGTCGGATTCTTAATTGAAGGATGTAGAGGAGACAATGAACTCTACAAGGCATTGCGGATACAAAAGTGCAAGACGCCAACGGATGTGAAGGACTTCTTCCGACATTGGGCAACGGGCGAAGAAAAATACAAGGCACCAAAAGGTCAACGTAATCAGGAATACGTGACCATCCGCCAAGGCCAAGTCGAAAATGTGCCGCAACAGAGAATGGCAGCTGCACCAGCAGCCGGTTGAGTACCGTGTGGAGACTCCGGTCAGAGAGGTCACCGAAAAGGTGACCTTTATCGACAGTCAGACGGGACAACCGATAACATATGCAATGGTGGCGGCGATACAGGCAGCAGCTCAAGTGAGACCAGTAGCCCAGAATGTGGCTCCCCAAAATGTGGCCCCACCTGCACCACAGAATATGGTCCCTATGAATGTCGGGTTACCACAACAAGGAGGGGGTAACGGTAACTTTGGCGGAAATGGATACGGAAATGGAAATTGGAATGGAGGTCAGGGGAACTTCCAGAACCAGGGACAAGGTCAAGGTCAAGGGAACTTCAGAGGGAATCAACAGCAAAACCAAGGGTCACGAACTGAGTTTAAGTTCCAGATGATTGACGGATGGGTGGCGAACAATGTGCAGATGTGCCAGTACTGTATGTATGGCAACCACCAGACCCAGGGATGCAAATTCGCCAACACACCACCGGAACAGAACCCAAACCTGTTTGCCTTCAACGAGTGGCAACGACTGCGCGGGCTCGGTGGTTGGCGCCAAGCGGTCGCAAATGGATATGACCTGATCACGCAATGGTACCAGGCGAAAGCGAACTTTCAGAATCAGCAAGGTAACGGGAACTATGGAAATGGAAATGGGGGCGGCCAAGGCGGCGGCTATCGCGGCGGTGGCTTCGGCCGCGGCGGCTTCAGAGGAAGAAACAGAGGCTTCGGCCGCGGAAACTTCAGAGGAGGCCAAAACAATGGCGGCGGCCAAGGGAACTACCAACAGGGTGGCGGCCAATATAATAACGGTGGCGGACAGAATCCTAACCCGGCAAATGATATCGGACAACAACAAGCAAATGTGCAAGGCGTACAACAAGGTGGAGCGCCGGTTCAGGGAAACGGGCAAGATCAGTAGGCACCGGTGAGCCTACTGATCGACCCGACCCTAAACCACCGGATAAAAGGGAAAGGTCACCACTGCAGAATGGTACTGCAGTGAATATGACCACTGCAACGGCTATATGGATGCCGTTAGCGAAAAAGCAAAATGGACCGGCTATATGGATGCCGCAACCACAAGAAACGGCTAGATGGATGCCGCCACAGCAAAGAGAGACGGCTATATGGATGCCGTCATCACAAAAAGGAAATGGAACGGTTATGGGGATACCGTCACAGAATCAAAAGTCACCGCAGAATGGTACTGCGAGTGGAAACGTGCAACGGGACCAAAGGTCACCGCAGAATGGTACTGCGAGTGGGAATTGTCGTGACGGTAGCGCGACACTGCAAAAAGTGCAGCAAAATGAAAGGTCACCGTATTGCAGCGAGAAAGTGTTAGCTGAACGTCGTGCATTACGTAATGCCAAGATTCGACAAGCGCTGTTAAACCAAAAGAAACCGCAAACTGATACCGCAGAAGAAGTGGAAATGCACCACGAATGGTTCCGGAAACAGATAAATGGCAAGTCGAACGACCAAAAATCACCACCGCAGAACGATACTGCGCAAGAGGAAAATGAGCAACACGCGAAATTCCGGAAATTTTTGGCAGAAAACGACAAGGCGAATGAGCCAAGGTGCGATTGTTACGGGGAACCAAAGCCAAAGTTTTGGAATTGTTCAGAAGACGAAGAAGAGAAGCGAATAAGGCAAGAATGGATTAAGCAGAATATCACCGTCATTAGTAAAGATGAAAGGTCACCTTCTGTTGGAAAAGTCCAAGTTAAAGGTCAAGGAGCGAGTGCGAATGCAAAAGGTCACGGCGACAGCGTCGTGTTAAAAGGTCAAGAAACAGACTTGACACTGCGAACAGCGCAGCAAAAGAATGGCGAATTGGCACAACAGAACTCCGATGACTCACTTGTAGATGCAATAACGCTGCAACAGAAGGAAAAGTGGCAAAAAGTGGCCTACAGACCGAATGGCAATCACGGGATGTGGATACCCGTAACGCCGAAGGCAAAGCAGAAAGCGAAAATGTCACAAGAGGACTACTGGGACATGCAACAGTTGCGAACGCAATGTGAAAGAAAGCGACTAGAAGAGTTGGTTACCGGGAAACCAGCGCAAGGGTCACCGAACCCAATCCCAGTATTCAATCCAGAGGAATATAAGAAGACATTCGCTGACTGGAATCATTCACGCAATGCTCCACCACAGGATAAACCGCCGAATTATGGAGAAAAAGTCCCCATACAAAAGCTGACAGGTGGCGGATTTGTCATGAAGCGCAACGAAAGGTCACAGGACTTAGCCCAAAGGTCACAGGACAAATGAGATAGCGCAAACGCAACAGAGTAGCGCAGTTGAAAGGTCACGGGACTTATCACAAGCACTGCAAAAGGATGCCAATGACAAGTCACCAGCCCGAACAGACGGGATGTCTTCGCAAATTGACCCAACGAAAACGAACAATGAAGTATCTGCAAAAGTGATGCAATGGATGACCGAAAAGGGATATGACATGGTTACATATGAAAGGTCACCAGATGAGAAGAAAGATAGCGAAGAAGACGAACTGAAGCGAGCGGACCAAATAACAAGTGAAGTCATTGAGAAGTTGAGAGATAAACGAAATGAAAATCGCAAAGAGGAACTGATCCATCAAACGATAAATGAAGTGACTAAAGGTCACATGGATAGCACAAAAGCAAATGAGCAAGTGCAGAACGTGGAAAAGGTCACCGGTGATAAAATGGCTACAGAGAAGCGAACAAATAAAGAAAAGCCGCGAAAATATTACGATGTTCGGACTAACGTTCCACATAGGATTGATAAGCTGAGCGAGATACTGAAAGGTCACAGCACTCCAGCAAAAGGACAAGTGCTTCCCGATATGGATCCGGGACCAGTATCGCTTATCCCTGTGAAATGTAAGATTCACACCTTGAAGATTCAAAACGGAAAATTGCCCAAGAGAATTGAAGCATACACACATGAAGTGAAAGTGGGAGATATAAAGGTCAACGCAATGCTGGACACCGGCGCTGAGACGTCGCTGATCAGCAAACCGTTTTGCGAGAAGAATGGACTTCATATGCTCCCATTGCCACCAGATAGACTGGTGAAAATAAACGGAATTAGCGGAACGTCAGGATTCCTGGTGACGCATTACTGCGTAGCACCAGTGACCTTACGAAAGAAGACAAGCGAACATTCCTTCTACGTCCGACCGAAGTGCGACGACGTACAAGTGCTACTGGGATTCGACTTCTTAGAGAAGAAGTTCGTACTGATGGATAATGAAGGCGAAGAAGAGAAAGAAGATGACCCCAAACCAGTCGCCAAAGTTCAAGTCGGAAAGGTCACCGAACTTGTAAAACAGACGGGAAATTCTCAAACGGTTAATAAAACGCTAATCCCAGTACCAGAGGCACCGGGAAACGAAAAGAAAAAGATGACGCGAAAAGATTTGTCACCATTTGAGCAGTTGCAAATGATTCAGCAGGAGATCGAAAACACATTAAATCGGACAATGCCGACACAAAAGGGAAGAGAAAAGGTCATCCCAGTACCAGAGGCACCGGGAATGACGAGAGTGCAGCCGAACGAGATTAGCCAACGGATAATCCCGGTACCAGAGGCACCGGAGAAGAAAAGTGAAAGTGGAAAGGTCAAAGAAGTTAACGAAAAGAAAAAGGAACCGCTTGCGCCAGATACCGATGAGGCGATCATATTTCTCCCGGACGGGAGAAGTATGATCGCAGATGAATGTAAGCAAGGAGACACAGAAAAAGGTGTTGAAAAAGCTATCCCAGTACCAGAGGCACTGGAAATAAAGACGGCTAAAGTGGGGAAGGATAAAAAGAGCGAAAGGTTACGAGTTTTGAAACGAATAGTTGAAGAGGAACAGATGTTTACAAGCGAAATCCGCGACAAGGCACTCGAACAATTGAAAGGTCACCGAACAGAAAAAGAACCAGAGGTCATTGAAA